ATATATATATATATATATATATATATATATATATATATATATATATATATATATATATTATTCGGTACATGCAATGACGAATGCGTTCGTACTTCATTGAGAAATTCATTGTTGCCGAATCGCGACGGCTAAGAGACGATCGTCGACTAACCACAACTTTTTACAATGTCGACAACAAACTGCGATGCGTTAACGATAAAAATGGACATCGTAGTAAATACATAGATCCAATATAATAGCCTCAACACGCAGTACAACCCCAACTGTCTATATTCGTTTCTAGTCATTAGCATAAAACTACCATGATTATAGGTTATTATTTCAATATACCGTTTGCTTCTTTGAATAATTAATGAGTGGCAAATTAGCAATGCCTACAATTTCAAATCTGAATAATCTAATTAGAATACATGTTGAGACGGTTTGTGAACTATTCAAGCGTGTGTCAGATTACAATATTACTTTATTTTCCGTTTTATTTTCGAATAACACGACTCGTCGATTGATTAGAACTATTATTATCTAATGTTATTTAAAATGATTGATAGTATTATCTGCTGATACCTTTGTAGCCCCCATACGCTGTCGAGAAGTCAAGTTTCTAATCAATATCGATCTATCGATTTGATATCCATGTCTCGAAAATGCTAGAAAATCGATATTAGAGAAGGGTGAATTGATACAGAGAATATAATCCACTGAACGCCAAGCCAACAGTTCAAGACAAAAAAGTAGTCACACATTAACCGACGAACGAATGTGTCACGATTTTATTATCAGCTGTTGTTGACTCGGCGTTCAGAAGAAGTGTTTTTCTTCTGTCAACTTTCCGTATCGATTTCCTGCTGGCTTCTCGAAACACTGATATCGTATCGACAGATCGATATAGACGGTAGGTGCGATTTTTTGTGTGTTGTGCACGGTTAAAAATATTATATAATATTGTAATCAAATGGAAAAAATCAATTTCTGAAAGAAATTATAGATAAATATAAAATAGTTTTTTTTACTAAATATATCTGGCGGATGCGTCAAGAATACAAATTTATTAAAAGCATTGATCACAATTAGTAAAAAATCTTATCTTTTATTACAACTGTACGTTATAAAGTTAGCAGTGTAATTATTATTTTAACAGTGCAGTGTATTACTCGTATATTGGTTTATTTGAATACGTGTACTTTCAACGTACTATCCACATTTGTTATATGTATTTATTAAGAGTCGCCCTTGTATGGATTATTACTTAATTCATTCTTGTACTTCGTGTACTTAGAAAGTCGTTTTCGATCAATTGTGCCGCACGGTAGATAAGGCATCTGAGACAGGAACGTCACACCAGCGCGGAGTTTCTTGTAGTCCTCTAAATTTTGCGCCACTAAATTTATCAGTTCACTTTCCGTCACCTTAGGAAAAACGTAGTTTTCATAAACAATTTTCGCAAAGATAATTTTTTTTATATTTTTGCACACCTCCGATCCTGGCTTTCGCGTAACAAATGCAATTGGATAATTGCCATCGATTTGAGTCGGCATAGGCACTACAGCGACTTCGTGTACAGACTGATGACTTTTTATTACATTTTCAAGTTCAATTGCTGAAATATAATAATTTTTGTACTGGATTACTGTATCGATTGGACCGGTGATGAATAGATCCCCTTCGTCATCGTAGTAGCCCATATCGCCAGTGTGGAACCATCCTGAAGAAAATACGATGTCAATTTACTTTCTCATATGTGTATGCGTTTTTCCCATTTGTGTCATTTATTTTTTAATAAGGATTTTTGTAATTGTAAATTTTTGCAAACTTTATGGACTAGACCAGTGGTCGCAATTACTTGCATGATCAAAGCGATTTTATATCTACTTATTTTATTGTCGCTGCAGCTCGCCCAGCAGGTCACAGCTGGACCATTGACATCTATGTTTGAGGCGCTTCCTAATGGCTGAAAATTCTTATTAAAACATAGTACTTTACAAATCTTCTGATGTAAGACTGAGCGCCGCGATTGTAAATCGAGTCTGGCCCGCAAAATCGCCTCGATTATACAATTAATTTCAACCACTGAATTACGCAATATTAAATCTCAATTATGAGATCAATTAGACAAAACTGTTCGCAACCAACCGTCTTGATCGATTATCCTATCATTTTCGTAATCATTTTCCTGACTATTTTCGTCATTTTTGTAATAGCTAATCGACATGGTGTCACTTTTGCAACAGATCTGGCCATTTTCATTTGGACCTAATGATTTCCCGTTGCTCGGATCGATGATCATTAAACTAACGTTCTCTGCCACCTGGCCAGAAGAACCAAGCTTCCCGGCAACTCTTTGATATGTGATTAAACCTGTTTCAAGCAAACCTAAAAACATTCGGCAGGATTATCGTAATGACTTTTGTTTTGAGTGACGTAATATTACCGTTGTCTTTGATCGCTATCGCGTAATACACAATTTTATATTCAGTTTCTAAACGGTTTTCATACTTTTTATCAAATAAATTTGAAATAACACTTCAAGTTATCAAAATTGAAAGCTGCTGACGTGTATGTGCAATAAACGGTTACAAATATATAAAAATTATTTCAAAATAATTTACTCTTAATTTAAACCAAATTCTTTCTCCAAAATTTCATAAATCTCACACTTTGTACTGTTATTTTGGTTCTTGTCATAACCAATTACTACTCATATATGTCAACAGTGGATTTCAATTCACACTATTTGAAGCGTTGCAATTTCTCTCGATAAGAAGTACACGGAAAAAAAAGATTTGTTAATATATGGATAACTAAAAATATTAACTGCAGGAGCAAATTTTCTTGCTTTCATAGCAAAGTTATTTAGCTATCACAACTATATAATTTTGCTATGAAAGCAAAAAAATTTGCTCCTGCAGTTAATATTTTTTGTTGTCCATATATTAGCAAGTCTTTTTTTTCCGTGTGTGAAAACCGTGTGAATACTCAGAAACTGAGTATACATACAATATAATGATAGAATAGAAGCGTGTGGCAACATCCTCATGAGGCCTTTGTGAATATTTTTTGCGACTGGACCACCGCTGATTATTAGCGTTTCTAAGGATGAGGTGTTGTATCTTGCGAGCACCCCAGATTTAAAAAATTCATCGCACATTTCACTATCAATTATTAACCAGTTCACCTGAAAAAGAATTTTTCGTTATATGTCTTCTCAAATTGTGCTATTCCCCTTTAATGCTTTTTCTCTCTATCTCACTCATTGCTTCTATGATACCTGATATTCCTCTAATACTCGGCATATTCTTTCCTTGTAATCTATTTTGAATTTTGGAATTCTAACTATTTCCGCACACGAGATTATCGCACGCAAAGTTAACATCAGATCAAAGGACAGATTGTAAGATTCCAACCACATTCCTATCTTTTTAGGGTCCATAACAGGTATTTGCTCTTTTATCAAAGATGTATACATTGTGTAAGGAATTTTTAAGCATTTGGAACAGTAAACGTTGGTCTTGTTGGAAAATATTATCATTGCGGTACTGTACATAGCTGTTTTCAAATTTGGATCGTAGAAATTCTGAATCAAAATTCTTTCGTCATTCATCAGTTCGTCGATTATTGACGAAAAGTACATAATACCTGATCTCTGTTTTTTACATGAATCTAGATTTACAATTTTTACTGGAAGCTTCAATGTTGACACTTCGTCTTTGATTTTCGAAACTGTTTCGTTGCTAACAAAGATTATTTTCGGCACTACTTGCGTGAGGAAGTATCTTATTTGGCCTGAGAATATATTTCTTAATGAGAGTAAAGTCAGGTACGTCTGATAAATATATAACTGTTAAACTAAGTTTCGTGATACCCCAATCTAATTCATAAAGAACTTAATTAGCAAAGAAATTATGTAAGTGAAATTGATCTAAAATTATACCTGGAGTAGAATTCTCATGCCATACATTCACAATAGCTCTAAAAAATATGGTTACGATAAAGGGTAAGTATGATATTAATATGTTATTCGTGCATATTACTATTACATCGTCTGATGCAATACACTGTTTTATCATCCAAGTACCCAATATCGTTACTTCCTTTTGTATATCCTCATATGTTTTATTAGATTTGTCTAGTGGATTTATCTGTGTACATAATATGCTAATGTGTATCTTTTATAATTATCATAATAATGCAAGATTTTTTAGAAAAACGCTACATAATGCAACATATTTATTATTAATTAATGTCTTTTTTATTTGTATATTCGTATACGCAAACGTCTGATGTCAAAAATATTTTATTATCGAAATATACGTTACCAGGCTAATTTTGTTCCGTTCGGTGCTTAAGGTATCTATAATTAATCTTTCGATAGAAACATTATCATAAACAATTTTTCTGCCTATTAAAACGTTTTCTTGTGTCGTTTTTGTAGATGTTTCTGTAGATGTTTCTGTAGATGTTTCTGCAGATGTTTCTGTAGATGTTTCTGTAGATGTTTCTGTAGATGTTCCTGCAGATGTTTCTGTAGATGTTTCTGTAGATGTTTCTGTAGATGTTCCTGCAGATGTTTCTGTAGATGTTTCTGTAGATGTTTTTGTAGATGTTTCTGCAGATGTTTTTGTAGATTTTTTTGTAGATTTTTTCTAAAAATAAACGACAATGCAATTGATAATATATTTCCTTTTCGCGAATCTCATAGAAGGAATTTGTGTGTAATTGTGCGAATGCGCGATATACGTGTTTATTTGTTCCCATGCATGCACATACATCTTACCTTGTTTTTGCTCATATTGCTGATAAATCTGGTATACTTTTTTTGCCTGTTTATTCGCGTTCACAGTGTTATTCTTATTCTGTACATCAATAATACTAAGATCAAGCTTATTAAAAATTGAAATACAAAAAGGTATAATTGTTTGCAGAACGATTTGACCTTTTCCGATATTCTTTAGAATGCAGCTGACGTCTAACAGGAGAATTTGTTTTTAAGTAATTAAAGAATCGTTCTTCTCATTGGACATGAAATGCATTTTAATTTGCGCTGAAAAGAATGAAAATATTCAAACTGTTCTGCAAATGAACAAATTTATAATAAGTTTTCGTTGTGGCGCTCCTTAAGAACGAGTTTGAAAAGTTAAGAAATATATACATGAATCGCAATGATAGGTTAGAAAAAGATAAAGCCAATCATAGTCATATATTACATAAATGTTGACGTATAAGTGTATCGTATTTAAAAAGGGAAAAACGAAACATTCAAAAGATTAGATTTAAAATTAAAGAGAAGATTTTATTTAAGATTAAAAAGAATAAAAAAACTCACCGAAACGTTTTAATGACTATCACGTGATGGAATATTTTGTACAATCTTGTAAAATCGTTAAGATAATCCCGCAGTTCTCGCAGTTGTGTGTTCCAGTACTGGCAGTTCGCGAGATTTTCTTCGCGTAGAGGAACGTAATAGTCTGCTATTGGATATCGTATTCTCCATGCATGCGCAGAAGGTTTTCTGTCGCGGAGAAAATCTCGCGAACTGCCAGCATTGATGTGTTCTCTAAATGTAAATAAGCTATTGGTCAAATATGTTAATGTAACGATACTAAACTGTAATGTCAAAATATTGAAACTGATCTAAACTATTCAATAATTTCGCGGGAAATTCAAGTCTCACAAAATAACCGGAAACATACGATACAAAATTTTTTTTTCTTTTTTCTAGATTTTTTCTTTTCTCCAATATACTAAAGTTAGCAGTCAAATATTATTTGTAAAACATTTTTAGAGTCAACGTTGCAACTGCTTTTAAAGATGCACCTCGTTATTGCCGATAGTTGAGAACAATTTCTATTCACACACTTCTTCTAAAGTAACAAATTTTCGTTACTATATATATATATATATATATCTTTGATACATAAAATTTGACTTTTTTTATTTAAAGTAAATCTTCTAGTCTTTGTTTAAAACTACTTTCAATTTGTGTATCGAATAAAGCTATGTGTGTAAAAAACTTAAGGGCCATTCCAACAGACTAGAAGAAAAACAAATATGTGTGTACAACAGGCTTTACTTTGGTTAGATTGGAATATTATATAAATAAATATATATTTAATTTTGCAAATATGATTTCTCTTTCGAAATGAAATTAGATAAAGAAATCAAGGAATGAAGCATGTAATCGCATGCAGAAAGAAAGATTCAAGTAACTCTTAAAATACATTTATTTATTGTATTAAAATTTATTATGCATAGACAAAAAGAACATTGAAAATTATATAAATGGCCAAAAAAAAGTATTTTACCTAATATAGAAAAAAACTAATATATAAAAGAGTTAGTTGTGAAGAAGGTAAAACTGTAACAAACTACGATCTTTTGAATATTTCGTAATCGTGCGAGAATGTTATATTTGTGAGTTTACACTCAACTATCTTCCATGAGAAATAAGTGGTTTATTTATAATTAATTGTCGAGATGTCGGCGATATCATATCACTTATTCTTCAAGTAAGATGGATCTTCTGGAAACTCCATCATAACAACCTCAGGAATGCACACGAAATATGAGTTTTGCGCAATGCACAAAAATTGAAAAACTCCATTGTACATTAAATCTTCTGATGTAATGATTGAAAAGTTATTATCCTAAGATATATACAGACTTTACACAATGATTTCTTCGCGCAAGTTTCTTGAAAAGAGTTAATTTTGTAAAATGTTTTCGTGATTCTTTGATTTCACGCTATTCTAATCAATACTATAGCAATACTGCAAAAGTTTATTCATACTTATAAAAACAAGTTTACTTTTAATATTATTATATAATTGTTGATTTCAATGAATATATATCTATTATGATATGAAGGTGTCTCCAAAATTTGCCTTATAACGAAGATAATTACGATCGATATTTCCATCCAATCGATACCACATTTTATCCAACAGTAGCACATCGTGAAGTTTCATGCAGGTCCACGTTATATTTGTCGTTATATTTATTATTTCTTGTTTTTCCACCTAAAATATATACCTTATTTATGAAAAATCTTGAAATATCTCTAGTTTCTATAAGAAATAACAAATTTTTAAATATCTTTACATGTTTTCCCGTCTTTTCCGTAATAAACGCCACTAGAACTTGCTCATTGGTGTTGTTTGGCTTTTCCACTACAGCGACATCATCCACATTAGGATGTTCTTTTATTAGATTCTCAACTATTGTTGGCGAGTAATAGGTTTCTTTAAAACAGACAAGATCCGCGGCTCGATTAATAACATAAATGTCACCATCATCGTCGTAGTAGCCTATATCTCCGGTATCGTACCATCCTGAAGAATCACGCGTAATGTTAGTTAAAAACAGAAAAGTGTCTAAGTTCATTCTTTTCTCTTAATTTTACAAACCATTTTACATAACATTCTCTATATATAATCAATCAAACGAAGCTTTTTGCATAACTTACCTTTATCATTTGTTATTTGGATAGAAACTATGTTGGCGTCATAATATGTATTTGACATACCGTAACATTTGCACCAGATTTTACCAGGTATATTAGAAGCTAATACTGTTCCAGAAATGTCGGTGATCATGAAATTAATATTCCTACCCACTTTTCCGCTAGATCCGCATTTTCTGTTAAATCTTTGAAAAGAGATTATACCTGTTTCCGTCGTACCTAGAAAAATCCAAGCTTTACTGTGACAATTTTAGGGGATGCTTTACCGTCAGTGTGTGACTCTTGAAAACATAATTATAATTATATATACCATATAATGATATGACAGAGGTTTCTGGCAACAACCTGTCGAGATCTGCTTGAATACAATATTTCATACTTGAACCGCTGAAAATTAACGTTTTCAAAGAAGAAATGTCAGCCGTGAGAGAGTCTATAGAATTTAGGATTGCTTGAGACATATTAGTTTCAAGTCGCACCCAGTTTACCTGAAATAGACACAAGAATTTCGCACTTGATATACAAATGTGCAAAAGCACATCCTTTTTCTTTATATTTCTAAATCTTCCTTTCTTTCTTTTCCCCATTAATTTTATTCTTACATATAAAATACCTTGTATATCTCTATAGCTCTCCAAAATTTCATCATGTCGCCTTCCTTAAATATAACTATTCGCTTGTACATCAATATCGACTGAATGGTCAGTATCAAATTAAGATACAGAAAGTGATGTTCCATCAACATGCCTACGTTACCGGGCAATACACTAAACACTTCGTAGATTACTGGAGCTATGATTGCTTTATGAGGTATCTTCACGGCTTTAGCTGGACCTTCAATACCGCGAGTATATACTATCATCGCAGTTTGTAGTCTAAAGTCATCTAATTCCGTGCAATCAAACATTTCGATATTGTTCACGTTGTAACATTTGTCTATATTGGCAATGAGAACATCGTAAGCAAAACTAAACTTTTTGTACAAAAATCGTGATGATCCGGGAACTATCAATGATGAAACCATCTCAAAATTATTTATTTTAGAATTTTTGGTAGATTCGCACTCCTTGCTCTGTATTCTATTGACGAATAAAATTTTCGGATTGACACGCGCAAAATCACATGAAGTTTCTAGAAACATTTATTAGTAATTAAACTAAGGTATGACAAATAAATAACTATCGAACTAAATCATATGACAATAATTAAAAAAATTGCATAAGTTATTGAGAAAAGTTATATCTACCCAAGTCTGTGCATTTATTGTATTGTCGCACTATCGGAACAGCACCGATATATAAGCACGCCAAAATGGCATACAGCATCACAGGATAATCCGTGCATATTCCTATTAAGTCCCCTGGATAAACCTCTTCAAATTTCATCCAGATCGCTAATTTCACACTATTGTTTCTTATTTCCGTAAATGTTATTTCTCTTCCCGTTTCTGCATCCACCTAGGAAACGTGCCAATTGACATAAATAATTACCCTGAGGTAACATAATCACTATAATTTAACGTTTTTATCACTATAAATAACAAATTAATTCATATGCTTTTATACATATGTAGGGGAGAGAGGTATATTTTTCACGAGATTAATATAATACCTGTGCAACATAGTTCAGATCAGAATTAAGAGTTTGTAAAATTAGTTTTCCAATATTCATGGATTCCAAGCCATCACATCCAACTTTTTTGCCCATTATAATGTTGTCTTTTATCATAAATGAACATCTCTGCGAGAAATAATGGATAATGATATTGATAATGTTTTTGCTATTTCGCTAATTTTTGAAAATATCTTTCATCATGTACTATATATGTGTAACTTACTGGATATGACATGTTGTTGATGAATTTTGTCATTTTTTTACCTGTATTATTGTGCCAACGATATTGATAATGCTATTACTGTAAAACTGAAATATTACAATATGCAGAATTATTACCAATTATAACTGATTCCGAGTTAATATACATAAAAATACAATTTTGTTTTCTGACTTGTGGAAATTCGTTTAACCTTTCTGTCAATGCACGGATGCTCGGGCATCGATTTTAAATTATACGCGAGTAATCTGTAACGTGTAATTTTAATCTATGACGTGTATATTTTAATCTATGACGTGTATATTTTATTGGCATGGAGCAAGTACAGGCAAAATAAATTTTAGTTGATGCAACCAAATGGGAGCCAACTGAAAATTAAATGATCAGAAGCGATATCTCTGTTATGAAAACTAATATTTCTGTTGTCGCAACCGAAAATATTCGTCTGAACATTCAACGATATTAGAACTCGGTTGAGACAACTGAAAACAATTGACTATACAGAAGCTTCATAAAGGAATTTTTCTATTCCAGCCGAGTTTTCGTCTGATCTCTGAGCAACTGAAAATTCGGTTGTATCAACAGAATTATTTTTTCCGTGTACATACAAAAGTCTTTGTTGCGCGAATTATGTAGAATACAAAAGAAAAGAATTAGTAGTTGCTATAACGTCGTTTTCACAGTGCTGTGTGCTGAAATATCCTAATACTAGAATTGATAGAAAAGTTATGCATTAACAAAAGAGTTAAACACTAATACGCGTGTAATATATAGAAAAGAAAAGTTTTATTTTATCTAATATTACCATCTGCATCTGCATATTACCATCTGTTGTAAAAATTATTTTCTATCTATATATATTATATGATAATGTGTGTGTGTGTGTGTGTGTGTGTGTGTGTGTGTGTGTGTGTGTGTGTGAAGAGGTTAAGAGAACCAACAGAACGTGCCAATAGAGAGAAGAAAACAAAACAAACATGCAAGGTATAGTTGTAATATATAAAACTTTACATCGTGTACGCGTCAGCCAATAAATTTTTACGTCCATAAGTGAAATTGGTATACGCGAAACAAAAACGAATCCTTGTCAATTTTAGTTTCGCGCTAGTGATTCTACCTTCTTTCGAAACGAGATCGCATTAAAAAAACAGAGAGATGAAATATGTAGACAGATTATAGATCGTAAAAAAAGATCCAACTAATACTTAAAATACACACGATTAAGGAGTATAGGTTCATCGTACATATGTACAGATGAAATAAAATCGCATTGAAAATTATATAAATGGCGAAGAGAAGGGAGAGAATATTTTAAAAGTTACAGAATAAAATTAAAAAAATGTATGGTATAAAAAAACTAAAACTTACCAAACTGTGCCAAGTGACGAATGTTTGGAAAAATCTTTCGTGACTTTGTATTGATGTTGTGTTACTGCGTTACCCTCAAAGTGATGAGCTATCGTGGCATGTGCGTATAACGTGTGTGCACTAAATAAACACTATGAATCCTCACTAATGTATATATACTTTGGTCAAATATAAAATGTCGGTAAGGTTGCATTCAGGGAGACGCTACTTAAGCCGGCTTTGTCTTTGTTTAACTTTAATAATTAATTAAGGACAAAGTACATTCATAGCATTAAAAATAGCGTTTCCCTGAATGCAGTCTAAGTTCTAGCGACAAAAGAAATTTGAAGGAAGTTGCGAAGAGAGAAGAAGAAACTTTATTGCAAGCCATGCAGTTTTTCATTATTTTCTTATATCGTTAATCAATCTTCAAAAATATCTATATCAAGAGAACTGGAATACTTTTATTTTGTATTTCCTCTGATTTTTCTCGATGTCGACCTGATACTGTCGATGATCGATTTCCGTTGCTTCTTTTTTATTCTAATAGCACGTTATATTTTTACCTGCACTATATCACATTTCTCACTTATCTTTCGCAAAAACGCAGAAAAACTACACGAGGGTTCCTTGTATTCACCTAACGTTGCACCTATATATTTCTATGGAAGCAGTGCTGTGACGTCAGCTTAGGTTTGCACACGAACCACGTGGAAACTCCCACGTGGAAGAAATTTCCACGGCAGCCTATCATTGTCCTCAAATTACTTTTCGGAAACGTCTGTGGTTGACTTAACAGAGATGGTTGAGTTAACAGAGATGGGCGATTGATAACCAATAGTTCCTTTTCGATTAATCGATACTTTTTGCAGAGAAAGTTTTTATTCAATTAGAAGAAGTTTGATTTGTTCTTAGTTGCAAAAAAACTTGAAATTAATATATTTATTAATTAATCTAGAAGTAATATTTTAATTTTATAGCATATTTTTATCATGGTGTATTTCTCTCGATAATTTTGTTCGATCGATCGATTGGAATTCAAGAAAATAGAATTATATGGTCCGAAACAAAAATAACTAGAATTTCGGCGAATCTATGTTGTGTTCTTTTTAGCTGCACTGTGGAACTAGTGCAATAAGTTAGAGTAAGAGAAAGTATATTTGTTTCACTCTAACTTATTGCACTAGTTCAATAGTGCAGCTAAAAAAAATAGACCACTATATGTAATATTTTTTATACACATGTGCTTCTACAAACACAAATATTTATTATTGAATTTATACTGTACACTTAATATTTTATGTTAAATATACATGGCGTCTATGTGTAAAAATTATTATTTGCTGTTTTATGCGATAGCTCTTGCTATTTACATCACAAGTAGGGTACTACAAGGTTGTTTGCGATATTCTAATGTGTTCCTAGAGCGAGAGCTCGAAATCGGACAATGTTATTCGTGATGATTCCGCGCGAAATTCAATTTTCGTGGAACGCGCAAAAATCGCAAAACTTTTCGACGGTGTATTTTTCGGTGATAAAAAGTGAGAATTTTCTATAAATTATCCTAAGAAATGCGTAAATTATTATGCACAATGATTCTTTTTTTATTAATTTTTCTTGAAACGAGTTTATTATCATAGGATATTTTATAATTCATTGATTATACGCTGTTATAATCAATGCTATGATGATATTATGTGTGTGTGTGTGTATTTGTGTATGTAAGGATATACTTGTGTGCTGATCTTGTCACATTACTGTAATTAAGTCTCATCATCATCGTCATCATTCCAAAAATCATCGGGTATGCTATATTCTCCATTCGCTTTATTACGAAGGAAAACCCGATCAATGTTACCATCAACTGCATAGGGCAGTTCAAATAACCGCTGCGCATCGTCGTGAAGTTTCAAATAATCATCCAATTTATCCGCCACTTCATCTGTCATATTCTGTAAATTTAACTAAAAAGCAGCACAGACTTTTTATGAAGAATATCGCTTAATCTTAAGAGAAACAAATGTTATTGAAATAACTTTACCCTCTTTATTCGTTTTAACGAAACATATGCGAATAGATGTTCACAATCACTTTCATCTGTCATAGCCACTACAGCTACATTCTCTACAGCACTATATTTGCTTATTACATTTTCAATTATGATCGGTGAAATCTTAAATTTCCTAAAAGAAATAAAATTTTCGATCCGTTTCACTATAAATATTTCACCATCTTCGTCGTAGTAACCTAAATTTCCAGTATGATACCATCCTGAAAAACGAGAAGTCAGTTAATATAATTTTCCTGTGTCTTCTGTTATTACATTTTTCGTCTTTCCCTCATTTTTATTCATGGATGACTTAAATATTTGTTTTGCATCTTACAGATGTTATGGATTACAAAGTTTCATATAATAATCATAAATATAAAATCAACTAAATCAAATTTTTTCTGACCAACCGTTCTTATCAGCAAATTTCTCAGACTGCTTGCAACAGTCATGATATTCATTCATTATATCCTTACACTTACCAGATTTCGCCACACATATATGTTTCTAATCGTTTCTTATTGTCTAGATCTATAATCCGCAACCGAACGTTCTTGCCAACATAACCACTTGATTTGATCTTTCCGACTTTTGTTTGTCAGGAGATGATATCTGTTTCAGTAGTATCTGGAAAAATACGAATTCCATTGTGACGATTTTTTGGGTACTTTTCTGTCCTTATTTTTTAACTGCAACTGCAAAAATTGTACATACTATATAACGATATAACAGAAACGTTTGGGAGCGACTGAATGAGATTACTATGATCGTCATATGGAATTGGTGAATCGGTGAATATTAACATCTTCAAAGAGGAAAAGTTGTATCTTGTAAATAAGTTAGAGTTAACCATGTCTCTACACTAAGTTTCAAGTAGCACCCAATCTACCTGAAATATATGTAGGAAATTTGCACTTTTATATCTTTTAGGCTTTTCTCCTATTTCGTCCTCTTCCTATTCGTTTAACCTTGACAATGAGTTTTCCATATTTTGAAAGTTTTTGTCAGTAAATGGTCTGAGAAACAAACATAAAGAAATAACTGTAAAAATACGTTATTTCATAGTAATTAAAAAGAAAATTGAATATAGTATTAATAATAGATAAATCTACCGTAAATGAGTCTTTCATGCCATAGAATCGGTATGGCACCAATGTACAGGGACGCAAGAAAAACGTACATCACCCCATGATAATTAGCGGATATTCCTATTATGTCTCCTGGACGAATACTTCGATGTTTCATCCACATTGCTAGTTTTACATTCTTGTTTCTATTTTCTTGTTTCTTGTTTCGTATTTTCTGAAATGTAACTTCTTTTCCCATCGTTACGTCGACCTATAAAATATGTCTTTCGATATAATCCATAAATATAGGAGATACTGCAGAATGTTAGTAATTATTATAAGTAAGGAATGAACTGATGCACGTACTCTCGCGTATAAACAGACACACACATATTTTTAAATAATACCTGTGCAATAAAATCGGCCCGAGATTTAAGAGTGTTCAGTATTAATTCTCCGATATTAACATCCTCGTTTCCAGTTGGAGCTTCTTCACCTCTATTAAAATATTATTTACTATCTCAAATGGAAATCTTCCCGAAAGATAACGTCACTGATGACAGTTTAAAGTTAATTTTTTGTTAACTTTATAAACGAATTTAATCATATATGTAACTTACCTGATTTGCCATATCGTTGAAAAGTATTATTTATTTTTTTGCGTATATTACTCGACCAAAAATTGATATTGTTCTGATTAAAAACTGGAGTATCGCAATATGCAGGATTAATAATACGATTGCCGCTACATCAATTAACTTAAAAATATACCTTAATATATAGTTATATACCTTATATAACTTAAAAATATATAAGAATTATTTATTCCTTGTTGAAATATATTTACATAATAATATGTGTAAATATGCGACAAAAAATATAAGATAAATTTCTTTTATTTGTTATATTTATGCGACAAAAAATATAAGATAATTTTCTTTTATTTGTTATATATACGTTTTGATCTTAATATAAAACTATTTCTAACTTGTACATTGTATAGAAGTATATGAGAAGATCACGATGCGTTTCAATGAGCAGAAGGAAATAAACAAATATATTTTACTAACAAAAAAATTGACTTTATCGTCCGTCGTCTAAGATATCATATAAACATATACATTTTCAAATTTACACGAGTGATGGATCAGGCATAACAGAAAGAACTTTTACTTACGATTATTTGCAAATTCCAATTCTCTGACGCTGATGCGCATTTTTTCGAAATGCGTTTGGATTAAAAAATAAAAAACGACAAACTCTGCTTAATCAGCACAAAAGAGAGAATACAAACAATGTTTGTACACAGCTAAGGCGTAAAGATTTATTATGCATAGATAATGCACGAAAGTATTGAATAGTATATAGATGCTACAAAGCAATGTTTTACTTAATAGAGATAAAATTTAGAGTGTGAAAAAGATACAAGCGAAGAAGCTGATAATTTACAAATTACGTCAAACAATTTTCGTTTAAAAATAAGTTTCACGAAGTTGTGTGGGCGATATACCATCATGCTCGCTACTATTTCTCTTTACAAGTATATGGACGATTTGTAATGAGTATTGGTTGTTCGCGATATCATTTGTCCTTTAAAGCGAGCATTCGAAATTGTACGGTATTGTCCGATGATCATACGCGAAGTTTAATTTTCGTGAAATGTGCGAAAATTGCTAAACTCTTTTGTATATTGAGTCTTACGCTAATAGAAAATGAGAATTTTCTAATAGTTTATTATCTGAAAAACTATGCAGGCCATAATGTACAAAGAAAGAACCGATAAAATCTTTTTTATCGGTTCTTTTTGAAACGAATCTGTAAAACATTTGGTGATCCGCAGATTGCGCACTGTTCTAATAAATGCAGTGATAATACTGTAAGATTTGATTTATCCTTTCATATATGGTTAAGAATATATTTTCTATATACATATTACCTCTTTACAGACAATTTTCATTACTGAATCTCTATTCTATATCCAATATTTTACGTTAGATATAGAAGTAGTATGTGTACATATGTGACAAATATATTATTTTATTTTATATACATGTAGAATGATGTATATATAAAGAAGGATTTTGCTGATCTTATCACATCAATATTGTTGAATCTGATAAATATTATATACTCTGAGAGGGTCACGTATTTGGGCGTATTTTTCTTCATTCGCTTGCTCACGAAGTAGAAATCGATCGATGTTGCCACTGAGTGAAATTGGCATCTCAAGCAACAGTTTCACGCCGCCGCGCAACCTCATACACTCATGCAATTTATCGTTCACCTCTTCTATCACCTCTCTTATGTTCAACTAAAGAACAACAATACATGTTTTTATAAAGATATCGTTTTGTTTTAAGAGAAATAAACGTTATTAGAATATCTTCACCTTCTGTTTCGGCTTCGTCGAAATAAATGCAATTGGATGTTCAAAATCGTCGTTGTCTATTACGGGCACCACAACAACTGTCTCTATAGCACTGTTTCTGCTTATCACGTTTTCAAGTATTGTCGGCGAAAATATGACTTGTTGAAAAAGAATAAGGTCACTTATTCGTTCAAGGACGTATATTTCACCATCTTTGTCGAAATAGCCTAAGTCCCCGGTGTAGTACCACCCTGAAAAACGCGCAAAATCGATTAACAACATATTCGTGAATTTGCAGATGTCGTGTGCTAGCTTTTTATTTCTCCTCTTATTTCTTATTGACGGAATATTTAAGTGTTGGTTTTGTTTCTAATAAGTATTATAGACTACAACTTTTCGCATAACGATTATGAACATAAGATGAACTAAACGAAGCTTTTTATGACCAACCGTCTATATCAGTCAAATCCGAAGGCATGTTGTCATAGTTATGATATACATGTGCAATGTTCCTATGTTTGCAACAGATCTCGCCAGTTAGGTATGGATCTGCTATACACTTCTTATTGAAGATCGTATTAATGATTCTCACACATACGTTTTTGCCAACGTAACCGCATGATGTCATCTTTCCATTTTCTCCCTGACAAGAGATAATACCTGTTTCAGTAGTAGCTAGAAAAATCCAAGTTTTATCGTGATAATCTCAAAGAACATTTTTTAAAGAACATTTCTCTTCCATTATCTGTTAATCCTAATTATAATAACTGTACATACCGTATAATGATATAATAGAAGTTATTGGCAGCGATTTGATGAGATTATAACGATCGTCATATGAAATGGGTGAACCGCTAAATAATAACATCTTCAAAGAGGAAAGATCATGTTTGTTAAGTAGGTTAGAGTTAACTATTTCTCTACACATGTAAGTTTCAAGTAGCACCCAGTTTACCTAAAATACGTGAAAGAAAATGAGATTTTTATACTCTAAATGTGCACTTCTCTTTTCTGATTTTTTTTTTAGTCTTCCCTTCTTTCCTTTCTCTTTTATTTTTTGTCTTTCTTTTTCTCTTTTTCTCATTCTATCCTCTTTAATTCTGTTTGTACAATACCTTGTGTTTCTCTAATGTTTGGCATATTTCTTCCTTCCTGTATCCCATAAATCTAATTGTTCTCTTAAACCAGAGTATCGAACAAACGACCAATATCAAGTTTGTTAATGAACTAAAAGACCCTACCCACATGCCTACGCCAGCAGGTAACATATCAAATACCTGCTTATTCACGGCAGCCGTAAATGTTGCATGTGGAATATCCACAGGTTTACTAAAATTACATACACCACGAGTATACAGTATCGTCGCGATGTTTTTTTTATTTTTGTCTAATTGTGCGCAAATAAATTCATCGATTACTTCTTGGTTGTAGATTGTGTCTATCTGTGATTTCAAATCATCATACGGCACGAATGTTGTAAATGTGCCAAAGACTACCACTGTTGATTTAATTCCTAATAAATCGTCAAAAAATGCAGTGGCCAAGATATCGTCAATGAACATAATTTTTCGTTCAGCGTCAAACATGATCCTATTTATCGTTGCTGAAAGTTGTTTTAAATACTCTTAGAAATAAGACAATTAAATAACTGTAAATGTAAGTTGTTATAATGATTAAGAAACAGATTATGTAAAATTTTTATGGAATATAAATCTACCGAATGTATGTTTCTCATGCCATAGAGTCGGGGTCGCACCAATGAACAAAGACGCAAAGAAAACATACATGACCGCATAATGATTTGAAGATATTAATATTTCATCTCCTGGGTGAACACCTAACATTTTCATCCATAATGCCAGTTTCACACTCTCGTTTCTTATTTCTTGAAATGTAATTTCTTTTCCTTTTGTTGCATCCACCTATTAAATGTGTTGATCAATATTATTTATTACTATAATATAGCATTAGTTAGTGTAAGTAAGAAATTAATTGATGGTTTGCTTATATATGTGCAGGTATCTAATTTACTCTTTCACACACGTATCATTTTTTAACCTAATACCTGTCCAATAAAATTCGGCTGAGATTTAAGAGTATTTAAAATTAATTCTCCAATATTAATATCCTCGTTTTCAATTGAAACTTCTTCGCCTACCAAAACATTGTTTATTATCGAAAATGGAAATCTTTCCTATAGATAATGGCACATTGATAATACTCTTTTTTATTTATTTTATAAATAGACTTCATCATTATATGCATTACTTACCAATTTATGTATTTCCATGTCTTTGATGAATATTATATATTCTTTTCATCTACATCAAACCAATGATATTAATATTGTACCGATTAAAAACTATAATACCATAGTATAGAGGATTATTGATAATTACGATTGATGCTGCGTCAGTTAACTTAAAAATACACAAAATAGTGTTTTTCCTTGTATTTTTTTTTATAATATGTGTACATTTTTTGATAATATATGTACATGTGTATATAAATGCGACATAATATATAAGACAATTTCTTTTTACTTAGTATGTACGTTTTGAATTTTACTTAAACGTGATTTTAACTTTTGTATCGTATAAAAGTGTGTACATGTACGTGTGCGCGCACAGTATATGTGTGCGTGTTTGTGTTCATAGAGTTCACGATTCGTCCCAGAGAAACAGAAACGACACGAATGTAATGCGCAAATAATAAACTTGACATTATCGCGTTTCGTGTATGATGTTATACAAATATATATTTACAAATTAGCAGTTATGACAAGTCAAATATGATAAAATGTTCTTACGATTGTTTGCGAATTCCAATTCTCTGAGGCTGCTGCTTCTCTCGAAATACGTTTAAATTAAAAAATCGCCGAAGCCAAAAATTTAGTCAGTACAAAAGAAAGACAAGCAATGCTTGAATTATATAAGTTAAGGTGTAACAATTTATCATGCATAGATAATGCAAAACGGAATTGAATAGTATATAAAACCTGTAGAGAAATATTTTACCTAAATGAGATAAAACTTAGAATGCGAAAGAAATTAGTGTGGAATGTAAAAATATCCAAATTATATCAAATATCTTTCGTCTAAGAAAATGTTTCACGAATGTATATGGACAATACAACACTTTGCGTTAGCTCTAGAACTGCTCATCTTCACAAATATGTAGGCTATTTGTAACGAATATCGTTTGTTTGCGGTATCCTCATTCGTCCTTAGAGCGAGAACTCGAAATTGGCAATATTATACGATGATTACGCGCAATATTCAAGTTTCGTGAAACTCTTTTGTGTGATAAATCCTTCGATGGATGATAGAACATAGAAATTTTCTAGAAATTTATTACTCTCCAAAAAAAATATGCAGATTATTACCCACAATACTTTTCTCGCGGATTCTCTCTTCTTAAAATGAGTCTGTTCTCGTAGAACGCTTCGTAATTCGTTGAATGTGCACTGTTCTAATCAATATGATTATGATTCAGTAAGATTTGATTCCTTCCCGCATATATCTAAGGATATTTTCTATATATAAACTTCTTAACAGAGGTAAATTTATTATCGAGTACATATATTTTCTATATTAAATACCTTACGTTGGATACAGAAATAGCGTCTACGTGTCGAATTTATTATTTTATTAAAATTATATATATATATTTATATATAAAAGAGTTAATTTTCCCGATCAGAATAACTGAAAATATCAAAATCTAAGTAACTATGCGCATGTTTACGAAGAGCACTCCGGTTGATGTTACCATCAAGACCGTATGGCATACATTTCACCACCCTAGTAGTATGAAGCCACATATAGGTATGTAATTTATTCCTCACTTCATGTATCACTTCATTCTGGGATATCTGAAGACAATTGACATACACATTTTGTAAAGAATGTCTTTTAATTGGAAGAGAAACGAACGTTATTAATATATCTTCACCTCTTTTTTTGACTTTGTCGTAAGATACGCAACTGGATAGTCATTATTTGCGTTCTTCACGGCCACTACAGCTACTTCATCTACACTACTGATTCTGCTTATTACGTTTTCAACTATAGTCGGTGAATACCAAATGCTATTTTTGAAAATAAGATCCGCTAGCCGACCCACCACGAATATTTCACCATTTTCGTCGTAGTAGCCTACATCTTTGGTGCGCAAACGATCTGAAGAACGTGGGAAATTAATTAACATTTTCTTACCTATGCGGATATTTACCTATGTGTGTATTTATTTTGTTTCTTTTTATTTTTTATTTATGGACCGTTTAAATGTTTGTTTTGTATCCTATAAATGTTATTATGGACTACAGCACACGTTTCACAATTATGTTCATATAATCAATTGGATGAAGTTTTTGATGACTAACCAGAAATTGTATGACCAGCCAGAAGTTCAATTTCCTCATATAACTTGTTAAGATCATCAAATCTACTTGTCACGTCCTCAGTGATACAAATTATCTCGCCACATTTGTATGGGCCTAATGATTGCCTGTAGTACAGATCGATGATTTTCAAACAAATGTTCTTACCAACGTAACCACTTGATCCGAACTTTCCATTTTTTACTTGACAAGATATGATACCTGTTTCAGTAGTATCTGGAAATATCCAAGTTTCATCATGATGACTTTGACAAATATTTCTCTTCCATTATCTCTTAATGATTATGCTTACAATATAATGATATGATAGAAGTGTTTGGCAGCGACTCGATAAGATTTCTATAATCGTCATACGGCATTGACGAACCGGTATATATTAACATCTTCAAAGAGGAGAGATCGTATTTTTTAAATACGTTAGAGTTTACCATTTCTTTGCACATATAAGTTTCAAGTAGTATCCAGTTTACCTGAAATGCATTGCAAGAAAGTTACATTTTTATTCAAGGTGTCCCGCTACTACCGCATTATCTTTTAAAGACGGATTCCTGAGATAATTTGGAGAAAATAATCCTAATGCAAAGATGTCGAGATTATAATACTTTTCAAATTATAAATGATTAAAGTTGGTTAATTATATTGGCTAAAGTACGCGCGCTCAGATACGGTACAACACACAATGGTACAGGTACATGCACATAAGTGAGAATTTGCATAAGATATGAAATTAGTTATAAATCTCTGAAAGAAACGTCAAATGTATGATAGCTTATTGATAAATGTATTGTGTGATATTTTATTCATAACATTTTGACGAAATTATTATTATTTGCGATATTTAAATGATAGAAAAGGCAAATTATTATTACATACGTTGTTGTATGTATGGAACTTTCATATCAATTTTATATTTTATATCTTTTTATTCAAATTACCTCAGGAATCTGCCCTTAAAAGAATGCGGTAGTGGTGGGACATCCTATATATTTTAGACCCTCCCACCCTCTCTTTCTCTTTCTTTCTCTCTTTTCTTCACTTCTGTATGTAAAGTACCTTGTGTTTCTCTATCGCTTGGCATACTCCTTGCTTCCAGTAGTCCATGAATCTAATCGTTCGTTTAAACGAGAATATTGACTGAACGGCAAATATTATGTTAGTGAGTGAACTAAAAGATCCTACCCACATGCCTACGTCACCAGGTAACATATCAAATACTTGCTGGTTCACAGCAGCCGTAAATACTGAATGTGGTATTCTCACAGAACTACCGATATGTGTACGGCGAGTACACAATATTATCGCCAAATGCATGTCTATTTTAGACTTGTTGTCTAATTTCGTGCAAATAAAATTATCGACCATTATGCTATCGTATATGTCCAACGATAATTCCAGCTCACTGTACGACATAAATACAGCTGGAAATTTATCAAAGACTATCACTTTCTTATCAAGCTTCTCTTTTACTATGTCGTCAAGAAGTGCATAAGCCAAAACTTCATCGATGAATATCGCTTTATAGTTGCCGCTAAAAATGTAATTTGCTGCAACTTCTGAAAGTTTTTGTCAGTAAATAGTTTGAAAAATAAGATAATAAAATAAGTATAAGTTTATTTCAGTTATCTAATGATTTAGAAGCAAATTGTACAAAATTTTAATGAGATAATCTACCGAATCGAAATTTTTCGGGCCACAGAACTGGTATAGCGCCGATATACAAGCATGCAAGGAAAACATACATAGACTCATAATGACTGGAAGATATTGCTACTGCATCTTTTGGACAAATACTAATGACTTTTGTCATCCATATTGCCAATCTCACACTCTTAGTTCTTATTTCCTGAAATGTGATTTCTTTACTCGTTGTTGCATCCACCTACGAAACGTGTTGATCGATATAATTCATTGCTGTAGTATGTTATCAGTAAAAGAAATTAATTGTTGATTTGTTTTTAAAGGATATCGAATTTACGCGATATTCATACACATACACATATTTTTTTAATCTAATACCTGTGCAACAAAATTCGGCTGAGATTTAAGAGTATTTAAAATCAGTTCTCCGGTAGTAATATCTTTATCTTCAACAGGAACGTTTTTACCTATCAAAACGTTGTTTCTGATCTCAAATGGAAATATTTCCTATGAACAATGGTACTGATGATTCCTTTATTTCCTTTGCTTATTTTATAAAATAGATATAATTATTATATACGTTATTTACCTTTCCTTCCATATCCTCGGTGAATATAGTTTTTTGTCTATATTGATACCCGACTAATAATATTTATATTCGTGCTGCTTAGAAACTAGAAGATTGCAATTAGAGACATTATTAATAACTATAATTGCGATACTTCATCAGTTAACTTAAATACATATAAAATGGCATTCTCTTTGTCAGAATTTATATATATTGAGATTTGGTTGTTTAGTATCTATGTGTGTTTAGGTCTTTCTATTTAAAACCATCTAACTTACATATCGTATGGAATTATGTGAGTAAAGAAATCTCAAGGCGTCTCAACGCAAGCAAAAGAAAACAAAACAAAACAAATGATGCACATGTAATATACTTGATTTTTTCGCGTGTCGTTTGCGATATTATATACGTATTCAAAATTTGTGTAACTTATATGTTTGGTAAAAAAATGTTCTTACGAAGCTTTGTAATTTTTAATTTGATGAAAATAGTTCTTCTTCTGTCAATATGGGATTGTACTAAAGAACGAGAAATCCAAGACGTAGTTTTTTCTCTCTCTTCCTCTCTGAAGCAAATCTAATAAGTGTACAACATTGCGTTAGCTTTTGTACTGATCTTCTCCACTATATATAGTAAATATTCTATTTTAAAATGTCTCTTTCTCTCTCTCTCTCTCTCAATATTGGCTTCAGGTGTCTCTATATATCAATATTCCGAGTATATTGATTTGTCCTTCAATTGTGATCTCCAAGTTCGACCAACATCCCAACGTGAATTTCAAATTTGACGTTGTGCGTCAACAAAGAACTACACTATCGTACGTTTAATCTTTCTCTTATAGGAATACGATTAATTGAAACTTTGTTATCTAATAATGTATCTGGAACGTACTGAATGACCAAATGAGTAATTTTGAGACATCGCTTAGAATAGAAATTAGTTCGTTAAATCATTTTACTTTGTGAGAGTATCGATTTTACGATTTGTTTATTCTCCTACTTCTTTACAGAAAGTTTCACTATTAATTTGTCATTTTAATACTCCAATTCGCTGTAATAAATTGACATATTTCACTTCGGTTATTTTTGTCTTGTTTCTCTTCAGAGGATTATCGTAATCACGCGCGTCTTAAAGGGATGTTGAAAACTTTATCGACAGAACACTGACATTTTTCTGCAAAGTTTACGTCGTATTGGTTACACAGAATTAAAAATGCTTTTACACAATGAAAATACGTGGAAAGATAAATAGGAACATTGCTTGATATGTAACGAAAATGAACAAAAAATTTTTAATGTAAAATCTCAAGCTTCAGCGTAATATTTACCTAATCCAAAAGTTCCGCAGCTTGTATATGTCGAAAGTGTGGATACTCCAAACAGAAAAATTTTGAAGAACATTGCTTTACCTTCACTTCTGCATTTAGAAGCTTAAGAATATTGAAAAAATTTGCAAAAAGATTTCTACACATATATGGTTAGGTTTTCTGTTGAATATAATAAAACAAAGCAATACACATTCATATAATTTCTGTATATACAAGAAATACGAAAAGGAGAGCATGATTATGTTAGTGACGATCGTCTCTGCATTATCGACATTGTTTGATTCGTCATCGACTCCAGCATCCCCTTAAGGTAGAGCAATGTTCTCCAAAATTTTTCTGTTTGGAATATCCACACTTTCGGCATGTACAAGCTACGGAACTTTTGGATTAGGCAAATATTATGCTGACAGCTTGAGATTTTACATTAAAAATTTTTTGTTTATTTTCGTTATATATCAAGCAATGCTCATATTTATTTTTGCACGTACTTTCATTACATAAAAGCATTTGTAATTCTGTGTAAACAATATGATATAAACTTTGCAGAAAAATGTCAATATTCTGACGGTAAAGTTTTCAGCTTTAGCATCCCTTTAAATCTGCTGAAATTATACAGCGGCAGATCAGCTCGTTGAGAATTACTTTCTGCGCTCGACGACAATTTTCCGATACTGGCTCGATATCGCAGCGATATCCCACCACAATTTATTTTATTATCATTCGCAATCGTACAGTTTTTATTTAAACGTTCTGAGAGATATGTGCGCTTGTTTTCGGCGAGTAAACGCTACATTTACTTTCCGATGCTTGTCTGTCTGGAAAATTATCCCGCGTCTTTACCATTCCCTCCCGTATTCACGAGCACAATCCCGTCGAGCCAATTTCTGCCAGTTTCCTTCTTTTAATAGCTCCTTTCGCTAAAATAGACGATTCACATAAAATCGAGTTGCACGACGATATTACATTTTTAATCGGCCACGACCGCGTCGTTGTTGCTGCCACGAGAGCTAGTCTCAGAGAAAACGTGGCCTCTTGTATAATTAAAAGTGCTTGGCATACGCTCGTTTTATCTACCTGCAGATCTCGCAAGCACTAATGTCAGTGAAATTGTAAGACACATCAATCTGTTATTTTCTGCATATTTTGAACATAGAAGACACACGAACATTTGAAGACTCCACACTGAGGGAAAAGTTACCTTAAAATTAACAAATATTTCTTTGATGGATGCTATTAACATATTTATTTAAATCTAAACTCTCTTTATTTAAATCAGATATTATTTACCTGATTTAAGTAAACAATATTTAGTTTAAATAAAAAGAATTTAGATTTAAATAAATATGTTAATGGCACCCATTAATGAAATATTTGTTGATTTTAAGATAATTTTTCCCTCAGCACTGTTGAATTTATTATACACATATTTGCAGTTATATTAAAAAAGTTTATTTCAAATTTAAAAACAGTGAGGAAAAGAGGAAAAGAGAAAGAGCATTATTCGAATATTACAAACCGAATATAACCATTATACCCATCGTTTTCCTCGAGAAAATGTGAAGTTTCTCTGGGTTATTATAGCATGCCCCAATCGATGCGGCGAGTCGCGCGGCATATGAAAATCATGATTGCATAGCTCGGGATGAATACCAATTTAATCACCGGTACTATATTTTACACGAGCTGAAAAGCCCTGCGAAGAAGTTGCTTGAAATGTGACATTGATATAACGATGTTAACGTTTCGGCCGGTCATTCTTATCCCTCTCGTTAAGACAATTCTTATCCTTTCACGAAGAAGAAATATTGCGACAGCCACCAGCGGCACATGGTAAATGTTCCTCTCTGCCGATAATTCGCAACGAAGAGAGAATGCGGTGTGGAGAAACTTACAGTAGAATCTTATTATAGATACATTCACGTGAGTTTGCATCTACAGTGACTCACTGCGGCAGTATGAATCACGTCTGCTCCACGCGAGTTTGCACGTCCTCCACGCTATCCGGCACGAATATGCCGTTTATCTTGCTTTCGCCGAGGGCAATCGGGGGGTATGAAGTAGTAGTTTTAGTCAAAATTCAACTTCCAAGTAGAAACTCGCGCAATATTCGATTTCTGAATTCATGTTAATTCGCAAACTCCTCACGATATCGCTATCCGAGCAGATACGGTGTTGAGAATGAAATATCGCGCGATTCACATTGTGAAAGATATTCTCGAACTATCAAGCTACACGAATGAGATTGATTAATTGGGTTACTACGATGAACAATGCCGATCCTAGACGATCGTAAAACGAGAGAGGAATTTTATCCCTTAATTTTGTCCTAGTTTTTGAAATCCCGTTCTTGATAATCGAAGCATCCGCGGTTTTATCACGATTCTCTTACAATGAAATCAAATGAGAAAAATAGACTAATGAGAGCCAATCGTGATTGTTGGTGTGAATATTTAATTTGCAGGAGGACAACAATATCTGACAGTGTCAACGCATATACAGAATGTTTTTCCAGATTTTAAACTGGAATCAACCTTCAGACTTTATCCCAAATAATTATTATTAATTAGTCTCACTATATTCCATTTTCAACTATTAAATTACACGCTTTATGTATGATTCTATGTTATTATTTCTAAACGTTGCGCGAAAAATGCTTCAGCCACAAAACAGTGTAATTACTTTCTTACAATTGACACGAGTTGCAGATCGCATAGCCAGCCGCGTGGCGAGTGTTGCGGAAGATTCCGCAAGTATCAGGGGAAGGATAATCTAATTTTGGCGAAAGCCGCGTGATCTTCAATGCCCCTGTCGTCCTTCGCGCTCGTCTCGGCCGGACGTGAACGCGCCCACGCGGATGTGTTGGTTCATCGTTCGTTCGTGCCTTTTGTTTATTATGCCAGCGTATGCTTGCTTGGCTTATATTGTGCCGGTGTAAATGCGCGGGTTTGCGCCGCGCTTTCGAAAGCGCGACAGAGCGGCACGCGAATCCATCCTTCGAGCCCGCTTTTCGTTTCTTCCCAGCCGCCTCTCTGCAAAGTCGGCGGAAACTAGCCCCGGACCGCGTTGTATCCGGAACGAATTTCATATGAGGCTTAAATTGCGTTTTGCGCGAATGTGAAAATTTTTCGTGTTCTTTTCACGTGTGTGTGTGTGTGTGCGCGCGCGTGTGTGTGGAATAATCTCGCTTCATTGAGAGCGCGAAAAATGTACGAGTTTCCCACGTAAAAATAGCACGGCGATTTGATTAACCGTTTTATTTGGGTTAATTGCAAATTACAGAATTGGCGTGGAGAGTGGCGAACCTCGCGGAATATTTTCCGCGCGGGGGAACCGGCGGTCGCCCCTTCGGTGACTCCTTTTACGTTTAATTAATCTCGACTTTAAACTCGCTGCGCTACGCGTACACGACCGCTTTAATTTTCCCGTAACAACGTCCATAAATTTAGCGAGGTAAAATTCCGGTATCCGTGGTTCGCTTACAATTAGCGTGAAAGCGTCGAGAGGCAACTTGGACCGTAGTGGATCGTTTAACGACGTAATCGCGTAGCAAAGGATGAAAGAATAATCGCGATTGTATTACCGCCAATCCGATCGACATTTCGCTAATGTGTGTGAGATTTAGTGCGCTTGAATTTGTGCCGATATCTTTACCGTCGTTAAAATCCAAGGAAATAGCTGGACCGAAGCCGGAGTGTAACGTGAAGAAATTGGAAGTGTAACGTGGCGAACATTGCTCCGCAGTGCAATCGATATTTGTCATATTTGTTATATTTGTCTTTTTCAAATAGATTAATGAGAAACTTGGCAATCTACTTCAGAAATCGCTTATCGAGTGAACATATTTTTCCGACTACGCGGACATATTTCGCGCTCCTTTTCTCATAACGTTTAATTAAGCATCGCCGCACCACTAAGCATTGTGCGAGCACAATGCTTACTCTTAATGCAACGACGTCTATAAATTTCACAGTGGAATTCTCGGCTTTTCGCTCGCTCGGATCTTGCCGGGAAAAGAAGATGCTTTCTACAGCACATCTCGCATCACTGAAATCAAGTTGAGAGCACGGTTAAAATTGCACGTTCTCATATCTCCGGTTATTTGAATGTCAAGAGTTCAACGTCCCGTTTTACTTCCTCATAAATCAAACACGTCCCGCCAAAAACAGTAAAGGCTGTCTTATGACTCGGCGGTAAATTGCATTACCTGTCATCGAACAGCATCGCCTTTGTGACAAAGTGCTGTTCAAATCGGCCGCGGAAGAAGCTTTGCGTCACTGTCGCTGCCATGCCACTTAGATCGGAGATCTCGTCGAGGGACACTCTTAATGTTCTCACACCAACGGTTGGTCTCCTGAAAAACATCGTTTTTGAGCGATAATTCAAATTACCTGCCAAAGTGCCGTGACATCAAGTGTTTTAATTCCATCGCGAAATTATTCCCACCGACAAATTTCATACCGAATAATTAACAGAGACGAGACACTTAGAGACTTTATATTAATAGTTGTTACTTGAAATTTGTTTAATGTGAGACACTCAGATTTTTATTCAGAATTAAGGCTCTTGGCTCCTTGCATTCTATCTCTTTTTAACGACGTCAGAAGCGAGAATGCATGCTAAAAATTTTTGCGAAGTAGTTTAAAATAAAAATATATATCCATAAAGTAACGCTAGCAATTGATTAAACAAATTTGTAAGATATTCCGTACACTCCTCTTTTGCTCTAACAATCAATAATTTGTTGTAAATTAATGTGACATACAATTCATCTTCTTAAATTATTTCTTTGTCTATTTCTATTCAGGTTAATACAATAAATTATTGATTGTTGGAGCAAAAGGATAGTGCACGGAATATCTTACAAATTTGTTTAATCGATTGCAAGTGTTATTTTATGGACATATATTTTTATTTCAACGTATTTTGCAAGAATTTTTAGCACGCATTTTCTCGTTTCTGACGTCATTAAAAAGAGATAGACGATGCGAAAGACCAGGAGCTTTAAATCCAAGTCTTTCAAATGAATTATGCGACATATGTGACATTTATATCTCTAATCGCGCATTTCAGCTGAAAAATTCTCGTCTAACTCTGAATTCGAACCCGAATATCTCACATTTCAGATAAGTTTCAAATAATAACTATTAATGCAGGCTTTAAACTTCCTAACGTTCGCTAACCCGACTATTTAGTGTTGACAACTTTTGTTCGCGCGTCTTGCAAGTAGAAGCGTATTGTCCATGGTCGCTGAAAACACAATTACGACATGATAATGACGCGAGGCAGCGTTCGCGCGGATTCGCTTGAATTCGCCTGAATCGCCAAGCATGAAATCGCGAGGTGTCAAGCGTTAAAGGAATAACGAGCGACGTGTGAAATTGCACTATTGCGAGGATGCAATGGAAATGCATCTGTCACTCTTTCGGGCGCGATCACGCGTCAGTATTTAATGTTCGAGCACGAACGAGCGTCGCTGCGCTTCGTTTGTTCCGGAACGTCCTCGCTCTGCTTGTCGCTCGCAGATGTCGCGCCGTAAAAACCGACGACGTTAAATAAATGAATTCCGAGACTAGACGCGTGCAAAGTGACGCTCTCGCGCGTAATTTGTTTCGCGCTTGTCGGCTCCCAAAATCGAGGCGAAGATTCCGGAGCGCGTTAATTGTTTATCGGCTGACGAACAGCCGAATGTTCTCGACGCGTTGGTGACACATTCGCAAAGAAGGACAATGTGTTTGTTCGTGTTTATCTTCTAATGTGATGAATCGATATTATGCACATCGATATTTTTTGTCGACGGAACCGACGAATTCTGCGTAATAAATCACGCTAATAATAACATAAAGTATCAATTTGAAGGACGCTGTCGAGAATAAAGTTATAAAAATGTTTACGCGAGTGAGCATAAAGCGCAACGCTGTGGTAATTAAAAATGAACTTTTGCAACCACGTGACGCTTCCCACGCGCTGTTTGCTCCGTGAGCCAAACCGTGTTTAAAGTCACCGATGTTTCAACGAAATCTGTTTTCGGGGAGGAACGCTGAGTAACGCTGCGATAGCAGCCGGATTCACGTGATTTGGAAACCGACGTGTTCAACTTTTCTGTTTTCTGTTCGGAAAGAGGAACACTCATTAAACGTGCGCGCACGATATTTTGTTTACAGGACGAACGACGTCGTACCGGCAGATACGTCGCTGGTGGGACAGCCCTCGCAGTTACGTTGCTCGGTTTGCATCATGTGCTTCAACGAGGTGCGTTCACCATAGCCGGGGTGTGTATACCCACCATCATAATGGTCTCCTATATCATCTGGGTTTTGTATTCCGCCCGTAAGGATCGGCGAAAGGTAAATAGGATTTGAATCGTTGCATTTTTTCTTTTGTTCTCAGTCGCGCTCGATCCGCATCGAAAGGCCGTGACTGCGGTAAGTTCGCAATAAATGTCAGTGCAACGTGCAATCAAAGCGAGATGCGGGCGTGATGTGTTCCGTATTAATAGTTATTGCTTGAAACTCCTCTCAAGTGAGACACTCAGACTTAAATTCAGAGTTAAATAAGTTTTCCAGTTGAATCATGATTACAGGTACAAATGTCACACATATTGTAATTTAATTGGAAAACTTGAATTTGACTCTGAATAAAAACCTGATTACATGAGACTAGTGACAACTATTAATATGGGCTTAAGAGCCATATTAATAGTTGTTACTTGAAACTTTGATGAGATACTTATACTTAAATTTAGAGTTAAATGTGAATCTTCTAGTTGAATCGCGATTGTAAGTGTAATGTCGCGCATATATTATGTGATTCAAAAACTCAAATCTAACTCTAAATTCATATTTGAATATCTCATATAGGACAAGTTTCAAGTAATGACTATTAATGATGATTAATGACTATTAATTACTAAGATCAAAAGTGTAATTAATATGTGGCGTATTTTAGTTCTAGATATGGTTTTTGACCTCATGCTCGTTTAAAACTTTATTGATTTTCTTCTTGTTTATTCCTCTCGTCATTAATTAGTAATGACAGTTTGCATCTCGTTTCTCACGTTTCATTATTTACTCATAATTTGCTTTGTTCAATTTTTCTTTTTTTTTTGTTTGCTTTTGAAGTCAGCGTAATCGCTTATGCATCTATATATGTGCTTTTTCCTTTCTGCACATTCTAATTCTGACATCCTAAATATTCTCTCTTACAAGGAAACTAACTCAAAAGGGTAATCGAACTCCTGGATGTTAACAAACTCTACTCTACTCTACTCTAATTACTCGTTGATAGTCAGCGCGATCTAATTATGCACGGCGATTGTGTTTCGTTTCCTGAATTTTCGTTGGCTCGTCATCGACCTTTGCATCACCTTTTACCTTTGCGACGCGCCCGCGTCTGCCCGCGGCTCTCCATGGGAAATTAGAAAACGCGGCCGGAGTGCGCGATTCTCGTCAAGAAAACTCACACACAAATCACTTCGAGAAATAATTAGATCAGTAGTCGGAGGTTTCGCGAAACGCGATGATATCCAGAAAGAATCTAAAATAGACGTTATGCGCGAGTAGGAGGAGAGTTTGCTCATTTCGCTTATTGTAATATCAATGCTTTCGAGATTACTTGTGCACCTCGAGGGCTTTTGATATTCAAACTATCTGAGAAATGGAGGAAAATAATACGTATCATTATCTCTACTAATTTCTCGTATTTAATTTCTCCGCACATATGTTGCAATGTACGCGAGTTTTCTCGCGTCGAGTTATTTTGATATATTTTTCATTTGGAAACTTTATTTTTGCACTCCTCTCCTCTCTCTCTCTCTCTCTCTCTCTCTCTCTCTCTCTCTATTTTTCTATGTCCTTTTGTAAAATGTAATTAATTTAACGAGAGAGAATATAAAATGGACACAAGCACGCCACAATTTGCCACTTGCTATTCGCAAAGCGAGCCTGACACGTTTATCATAATGTCACATATTTTCGTGTAACTAGGTCAACCGTTGAAAGCTTATTTTTACAAAAATATTTAAACAAATTGCGGATGATGTGGTAAGAGTTCATATGTATATACGTAAACCGGCCGTGTGAAAATAAGCATCGAAATATCCCGCAGACATGTACAGAGAGAAGACTCTTGTAATGATCGTTTCGGGACTCGGAATGAAGGCTCGACGGCGTCCCCGTTTTGCGTTAACTAAACGTTGTCGTTGCGCACGAAAGATAGGTAAACCCTTGTGCATCATGAGCGGCTAAATACCAGTACTAGCGAAAAGGATAGAAATGAAATATTCACAGTTTGCATGAAATTAAAGATTAAATTATGTTGGAAATATACGTGCGAAATTAATAAGAGAGATGTCAGTGTTTTTTGCGAAATTTCGCATGCCATTTTATCGTTGTTTGGTAAACGATCGTTGGAAGTGGCAAAAATAAACTGCGTGTATCTTGAAAACAAATATTGCGTTTTGATTATTTCTGCAGTTAATTGTTCGCGGTGACTAAAAACGTGGCCAAAATAAATACCGCAACAAGTAAATAAAACAGACGTGTTTCGCGAAATACGTTTTTAGTCACCACGAACAATTAACTGCAAAAATAATCAAAGCGAAAAATTTGTTTTCAAGATACGCGTAGTTTATTTTTGCCACTTCCAACGATCGTTTACCAAACAGCAATAAAATGGCACGCGAAATTTCGCAACAGACACTGACATCTCTCTTATTAATTTCGCACGTATATTTCCAACATAATTTAATCTTTAATTTCATGCAACCGCAATTAGTGGCGCACTAGCGTGTCGGTCGCGTTTTTCCTCGATATTACGAACAATCCATCGTCGCACAACGCAAAGTCACGATACGAAGTTGCATTTCTTTCCGCGCTCATGACAGATTTCGATATTTAGATGGGGAAAGTTTTAAATTCATGTATGAGGTACACAGGGCTTCAGTAATGCTTTGCATTTCCGGTTAGAGTGTTTTAGCATTTTGTCTACATATTTTTGTATCGCGACTGTTGGTCAGAAATATTGTTTGCTTAGTCAAAATTTGGTTAACTTGAATCTCAGTAACTTCAATCGTAATTCTGATTCGTCCATACTTCATCAGACATTTGGTTGATCCATCCAAATTTTCTTTTCTATGACTGGTTGGATTTGACCTAGTCGCTATTGGCTTTGTCGCTATTAACTGAATTGTCGAGTTTTCTCAAAACTAACAGTCACGATAGGAAAATCTGTAGATACGATATGTCCGAGCGCAAAATACCTTAGCCGCAGATGGAAGTCATTATTGGAGTTATATGTACACACGTATTACCTCGCGATATCGCGCCGCGAAATCAATTGACACTCATATCCGCACGCAACATAAGAAGGCGATCTCCACCAGAGAGGCGGAATGAGTGACGTGGTGAGCAACGTTGATCTTATTACGGTGTCAATCGGACGCGAAATCCCCGCTGATACGTGAGCCGCACACGGAAATAGAACGAGCGTTCGTTCGTCGATCTACTCGCGATCTATTCACGATCTATTTAACCTTTCTCGCGCTCTTCCATCCGATTCGGTGTCGAGCACGGCGACGAGTGCATAATGACGCGGCCAATTAAATTGGCGCGATACCAGTCCGGCATCGAGCCGTGTCTCGAGATCGAATTACAGCAAGCCGCATCGTTTGATCGGCGTCCCGTCGATGCGGTGCGCAATACGAGACTGCAGTTCGTTGCAATTAGCCGCGATGCAACCGAGACTGCGAGACAGCCCGCGGTATATCGGTATCCTGCGCGGAATGATAATCCGGTTTCTCTTTGTCGAGGAAGACATGGAAATACATGTATCGAGGAGAATTGGCCTCGATACGGAATTGTTTGCGAATATCAATTGCGAATATAAGACAATGTGTGCAGAGATTGGTGAAGAACTTTCTATGTTTCTTCGAGCAAGATTTCACTCGAAAACAGAGTCACTTGTTTTTTAATTACTTTTTACTCATGCTCTGAGAAAGAGAAAAAATATCTAAGAAATAAGAAATGTTTTTATTCGCGATAGCTACTAATAACATATTTATCTACATTAATATAAAATATTTTTCAAATAAGAAAATACATATTTTCTCAAAATCTTAGCTTTTCCTGAAAGCAATTATAGTATTTAAATAAAAGAATTTGAATTCAAATAAATATGTATTATTAGTACTTATCGAATGGATATTTTTCTTTTTTAGATATGCGAAACTCTGAATTGACGTCAGAAACGCATGGCAAAAATTATTTTTCAAACAAAAATAAATTTATATAAAAGAACAGTTGAAATGTAACCTTGCTCTTTAACCTACTTTTTCTGATGATTTTATCACGTTTATTTCAAAGCTATTTATCATCTCTCTGGAGAGAAGGATAGTTGTCGCAGCATCTCACAAGTATGCTCAAATAATCTGAAGTGTTCTGTCACACCAATGTACCTTTTTGAAAATGGCAAGCAAGAATTTTTGGCATGCGTCTTCTCGCTTCTGACGTCATGAATGTAGGATTCCGTAACAGTAGGAGCCTTAAGAGAGATTCTTAAACGAGACGTGCGCGACAACGAGGACGCGACGACCACAGCTGTGTTATTTTGTTCAATCCTTGCCATGCGAAACGCGATGTCGCATACGAATGTAGAGTATACAATCAGTGCATGTTTGGGCTCATCGTTGCGCATATATTACGCAGGTCTTGCCAATCACGCGTGGCAAATATTGTATTGTGTCTATTTCAATGCGTACATAATTATTGCGCTTTGCGATGCTTGTGGCAGGTATATGCATATACATGTGTAGCAAACGCGCATTTCGTATTGTCCGTTTACTTCCAACGTAGAGCGGCTCGCGCTTGTGAATTTTCGATGTCAATCACAAGCAGGTAACTTTCCGCGCGCATTTGCTTGTCGTGATGCGAGATATAAAATCAAACTCGAAAGTCAATTCGAATGTGTCGAATGAATCCAGGTGAAGATAATCGATGACGAGCGTGAGATCGCTCACGCGATGCGAGACACGGTTTGTAAACCGCGATAATAAATTGTTGTTTCTAAATTCGCAAATGGAACGCCAGAGTATCCGTCAATTAGTCTCGTGATCTCTATATTTTCATAGGCGAAGCGCCCGTTAGTACAGTCGAGGTCGATGGAACGAATCGCACATGCAGATATCTTCGGCGTTAGCTGCGTATGCATCCGGCTGTTAAATAGACCCAGAACTGCGACTGAATCAAACGAATTGCTGCAATTTCATCGCGCGCTCCGCCTGTTTACACGATCTTGTTTATCATTAATTTCTCGAGCGGAGAAAACGAATGTTAACGCGTCACGTACCATTTCTTCTCGATTGCACTTCTCTCTTTCCTCTCTCTCTCTCTCTCTCTCTCTTTCTCTACAACTTGGAATAGAAATCTGAAACAACTGCGAAAAATGCCGTTATAAATAGATAAATTCTGTTAGATTCTACCAGCAATTGTACCTTCAGCTAACAAACAAACAACGTGTCTAAGCGCGAGTGCAATGCGACTAAACATGTGCACTGACATTTACGGGCTGATAAATATCGAATGTTATCGACGTCCAACGCGCCGATTAATATATCGATTTTTAGCATATTAATCGACGGACTGAAGCGAGGGATAATAGCATTACATAATAAAATTCTGAATTCATAATATATAAAATTCTGAATTCTACAGCTCTCGCGGGAAAATTGCATATGATGTTATCCCGATCGCGAGATTAGGTCGTCGCACTTATCATATCATTACATCCACGCCTTAACAAAAAATAGAGCCTTTTCGGGAGTGCAATCAATACTTAGGGATCAGTGATTAGATGACACGGACAGCGCGGATAATAGCTTGACCGAGTTAAACGAATTTACGTCGCTCCTCCGCGGACAGGATCAGTGGGACATCGCGACGACGCATCACGAAATCGCGCCTTTGAGCGATATTTTCAATTTTCGTGGGAACAGCGCGCCGTGAGATCAGACTACGGGTGTGTATGTGACAGCGCGGGCAATTAAATTGGCTCGGAACCAAAGCTGCATCACACGAATTGATCCAATTATGTCGGACGTCCATCTCGACGTGACGCGTACTCGTCCGCCGCTCGCAGCGAATTTACGGCCTGCACTTCGCGTGCGTGTCAACGCGAGCATTTTGCGGTCCCTTACAGCCGTAATGTATGTAATCGATCGCGTTTCAGGCTCTGAGGCTCGCCACAGTGACACCGCTGACCGAGGTTATCGTGCCTTCCAGGAGCAACGCTGTCGTAGGACGCGAGAGTTCCACGAGCGACGGCGATCTCCGGAAAAATCTGCCGAAACTCTGCAAATCGCGCAGCATTCGCGAGAACCCCGCTTTCTTCGACAAGGATGAGGCGTGACCAATGCGACAATCTCTCAGGGAGCTGAGCTTTGGTTGCGAATTTCCAGTTAGCTTTTTGAGTGGCTGCTCAAGAACGTTAAATACCGTCGACAGCGTCGTTCAGTTGAAAAGAAGGTACCCTCAACAATTTTATGTATTATAATACATACGGTACAGTTTTTGAAACTGTCGTATTCAAATTTGTTCGAAACGTTTTCGCAAAGAAGAATTTTATTTCTATATGGAGAGAATATTGTAGTTTACTTTTTTTTTTCATATAAATTCTTCTCAATTTTATCATTCTTAATAATATAGAAATAGATTGTTAACAAGGTCTGCTTCGCTGAAGAATAATTTCACTAGATAATAATAATAAATTTTACTAAAAATATAATCAATTTTTTAACAGCACAGTTCAGTTTTTAAAATATAAATCACGCATATGAAATGAGAGAATAATGAGAATAATAAGAAATAATCAATTACTGTCGATCTATTCCTTTCGGTTATAAAATTCTGTAGCAATCTTTATTAGAAATCTTGAAATGCTGTCAAATTAATGTATACAATATATCAACAAAGAAAAGCTTTCCAAATTAAATTTATCATGGAGCTCTAATGGAGTCTCGATTTTAGCAGTATGCAAATTGATAGTTGCGAAAAAATATGTATCTCTCCCTCCGATTATGAAATTTTATTATCATATGAATTTTATGTGTTGCAAAATTTGACAGAATGAAAATTTAATGTGTTAAAGTCGTTGAAACGACAAAAGGATGATTCAATAATTGATGGTGCATTTAAAATTGCTTTACCATTTCATCTCGAGATAAACAGCTGTGGATCGCTGTATAAATATAAAAATCATTTCGCGATTTTTCGCAGTCGCATTTCACACGTATCTGATCAGTAAAAACTTTTGTCCACTTAAGAATTAATGCCGGAGTTGGGGAATTTCCTCTCGATACGTACAGCTCGAGGGAGTATTTTGCCCGTGGCAAATATTCATGGCACCTTATGTCATCGCGGTGACAGCGTCGGACGTGCGTCGGCGGAAGCGCCGTAGAAATTTATCCCGGGACGTCTGTTTAATTGAGCAGTTCATTAAACCGGCGTGGAGCAAAAGAACGTTGAATTCATTATCACGGCCCCGTTTGCCGCAATTCATTCTCGTTGCGCGAGTAAGCGCCCGAGGAAGGCACGTCTTCCTCCGTTTTTGCCTTATCTCTCAATTATTCCGCGTGGTCGGCTCGTAAATTGGATACGCGAGCTTGTTGCGGTAGGTGGAAAAAGCTCTCTTCTCTCTTTTCCTCTTCGTTCCTTCTGTCCTGCCGTCGAAAGCGAGATCGGCGACCGATCAACGGCGTCCGTAAACGTGACGAGCGACACTGCGCGACACGATCCAGCGCGAATTTCGCGTGAAACCGCAACGAGCCGTAATTCATCCCGACCTCCATCTCGACCTGGTAATTAGATTCGTCTCGTTTGTGGCACGCGATTGCGACGTTCATCTTTCCGGGAGTTTCAGCGCGGTGACAGAGAGCAATTTCACTCGTCGTCGCTCTCTCGTTGTGCGGCAACTCCCGAAAGTAGCGATGTTTCCTCTGAATCCGTGAGCTGTTTACAACGGCGTTCCTGCCGAATGTTATAAAGGATACGTGACAATAGTCACGGAACAATCACGTGTTATGTTCTGCGCGCAGAGAGTCGATTTCCATCGCGTGTCGCGAACGTGCTTTCGAAACTCGTCAGGAAACATGATAGTCAGGATTGCGACGAGATATGTGGAATAAGTCAAGCGAATTTCGCGTGACAATTTATTTATTTCGCGCATAACGAGTAACCGTGTTTTTTTCTGAATTAACCTGTAATAAAAATTGTGGAGTATTAGTAATTTTTATTCGCCCTTTTTCGGGATACAAAGCAACTTTCAATTTCTTAGCAAAATTGTGAAGTATTAATGAAACTTATATTACCGCTCTATCTGCTATGCTAGATCACATCCCGTTTGTCGATTCAATTCACGATGACGTAAAACAGCTGAAGCGTTCTCGTGAGGCGATCGATTGATGAAGTCTGGCCGATTTGACGGCGTACTTAATTCACACCGTTGTAGTTGCTTGCTCTACTCCGTACGTAGGAAGTTTCCTATTGTTGTGGTAATTAGGTTGTCGAATATTGTCTTAGAGGCTTTCAAGTAAGATCAATCGATTCAATCGCTGTTACGGAGGAAGTTTCAGGCACGTTCAAGGAAAACGTGGTTACATTTCACATTTAATGATTCATGGGATATGTGATAACTGATACAAAAATCTATTCCATTTTCGATATCTCGGTAGATCGTGATAGCGTGATTTTTCATATTTATTCAATATTTAATTTCCGCTGCGCCGCCGGAAATAAAAATATAAGGATACTTGAATGAAAAGAGAAGAATTGCGTGAAAATTTTGATAGCACGTTTCGCAGAAGATAATCGTTTCCCTCTCGCGCGTTCTCGATCATGGCAAAACAATGTGTCGTCGAATGCGGTGTATTACGTCGAAATAATCGTAGAGGCAACTGCTTCCGATGGTAACGAGAGGCAAGGCTCTGCACGTGGATTATAATGTGCAATCGAGTCGCGTCGCGTGTCTGTTCAGTCGAGGAAGAAGTTTACGTTTCTCTTGTGATATTTTACTCACATCGATAAGTGTATTAGCGACGACATAATGACTTTACCGGGACGTCGTTCAGCAGCCCGAGCCGCGCGTAGATTCGCGCTAATATCTAATAAACCGCGCTGATTGAATCGCAGTGATTATTCGCACTCAGGATGGCGCGTGAAAGCCGGGTCATCCAGTTTAATGATCTCCGCGCGGCCGCACAGCGTCCGCAAGTAATCGCATACGCAATCACTGTTTAGTTAATACATGATTTACCAGGTTCCGTTACACAAGCTCCAGCCACGGCTCCAGATATCAAGCGGACGATTTAGGTAAACGCATCAGCGGCCGCGGCACCAGGCCGGCCACATCTCCCGGGATCTGACGCAATGAGATTATTGTTTACTCGAAATTAAGAGCTTTTAGTACACGGCGCGTTAATACATCGACTATTGCTATAATTACAGCGTCTGTTTAGAGGGAGAAAGAGAGAGAGGAAGAAGAGGGACGGTTGATAGGGGTAGGGTGTATTTTATAATTAATTCAATAGATCATAACCTTTTGATAATATGATAAAGCAATAATTACATTTAATAAGGCGATCATGCATTAAACGCGCGATATTACTTGATGCCTATCATATTTATTTATATTGATTTTGCATTGTGCATCGCACTATCATGTACGTTTAATTAGCGGCATGAACGTACCCGGAGCGATAAATCTTGCACGTATGTACGTTGGGCGCTGTGTTTTGAGAAAATTCTATTTGCAAAAGCGTTTTATACCAATCGGCTTTACTTCGGCGCGCGACTATTCTTCGGTTCATTCGGAGTCGATTTTCCCTGAATGCGAATATAACATTCTATTTTTCCAGTAGGAGACTTCAAATTTCCAATATTTCCCTTATATTTCGGTGAAACTCTCAATTCTGAAATAAAGTTTCGTTAAAATTTATCCGAAATCGTCCTCTGGACAACCAGACCATTGTCACTCGTTGGCAGCTCCAATGCTCAATTTCCGGAGTCCTTCACTTCCAATCGTATCTGCAACTTTAAATCCTCTCGACACTCCGAAAGATATACTTCGAAATTGATCACAAAAAATACGTAGATCAAAGGAAACGATTCTGATACGTTATATACGATGGCGGGCGAATGATATCGCATTTGATCCTCGATGGCGATGATCATAAAAGTTTTATTGCTCAATATGGAGGGAAACTTTTCCTTTATCGTGCATTAGGGAGATACAGTGTGAGCTTGCTGCGAAACGTCGTGCGCACGGCGCTCGAGCGAACATGAAAAAAAGTTTTGCGCGACAGCCGAGTCGAAATTTCGGTTCCACAATGACTCTGCAAATTCATTTCGCCGAATTTGAAGAATCCAACGAGTGTCTCATGGTATAACATTATGTGGAAGCAAAATTTCAACTCGCATGCTTTTCTTCTCGTCGCCATAATCAAATGCCGTTTACATAATATCAAACTCGATATACGTGTCGGATTTCGCCGCAGTTTCTTATACGAGATTGCAAACGCAATTGCGAGATTGTGTAACCACTTTGCGTCAGTCCCTCGCACGTAATGTGTTAGATCGACGGATGAATATACCGATAAATTAACTGCCATTACGTCAGCGCAGAAAATGGTGTGTTGAGAGATTCGTGTCATCGTGGACCGCCGGCTCAATATCCTCTTGAGAATTGAAAAATCCCAAGTATTGCAATTACGAGCGGCGAATTACGAAAGTTGAAATTAGGAGCTCGAACGTCTAATTGAAGTGACGCATTCTGGATATAATGCGGTGGATATAGCGTCGACATTTAATTATACAAGAATACCAGCTGCCCGCTGCAGTTTCGTTGTTTCGCAATGTCCTCAGTTGGTTTCAAGAAGCATCATATCGTGATGCGGCGAAAAGAAGAGAAGCCTTTGAGCCACTTTGTGTCCTGTTCTCAATTTCAAAACGGCTCCGCGACAAACGCGTGAAATTTTCGGAGCAGGACAGCGTAGTCGCGCGGACACGTACCGGCGCGTTTAAAGTGTGATATTTAAAGAACAAGGGGCGACGCTTGAAAGCTTAATACCGTGCAAATCCCCGTTTGTGCGCCGTCGGGTCGGCTTTAATGTCGCCGAGGAACTTTGTAATCCAACCCGATAAATCGATCGTACGTCTTACGCGAGACTCGCACATCAGCTTTATATCGCGCTTTCATTATGCTGGATTTCACTCTCTCTGATCAAGGCTTACAGCATTATGCTAATTAATGGAAAAGTGCGTGAGGCCACGGGTGGGGGTGAGAGAAAAATGAAAATGCGCGCGCGTGCTCGAGTTAGCGCACGTTTCTTTCTCCGTCGCGCTAATGCGATTTCGCAATTTGTTGCAACGCGAGTTTCGCGAGCTGCTGAAAGCATCGCGTGCTCTCCCCCGTTAACGGGAATGATATAAATCCATAGTTAGCCATGGATTAATTACAAAAACTAAGTTCA